AGTATGTTTAATGAGGGTGTCAGGGATATTATCCAGTCCTGTAGAGAATTTGTTTTTCATTTGATTTACAATTATTTGTATTCCTGCAGGTGATGTTTCACAGATATATGTGGAGTTTACATTTGTTGATGTGTGGATATTTGACTGCATAATTATATTATTTAAGGAGTTGTCGTGAATTAAATTTTTTCCAATTTCTGAGAAATGTCTATTTAATGTGTGTGCTACTGCTTGTGGGTTGCACAGAACATTATTTTTGTAGTGAAGTTCTGTGTTCTCAGTGTTCTTGTTTTCAGTTTTTAGAGTATTTTTCACAATGTTCCACATTGCTTTTGTTTTGTTTTGTGCTTTGGCAATACATTGATCACTCATTAACAGTTTGGCCTGTTTAATTACTTTCTTCATGATACTTTTGTATGTAATAAGCAAAGAAATTACATCTACATTCATGGTGAAGGATTGTTTCATGCATGATTCATTTCCTTTCTCATGATGTTTTGATTCCTTTTGTTATCCATTATTTGAGGTTTTTGCTTATTATTTTTTTCAGTGTTAGTGGACAAACTGTTGAAATAACTTTGGAATATGTTTATGAATAAGTTAAATTTGGTATTCATGTTTGTTGCTTTGTACACCTCCTCCCAGTTTTCTAAACTTATTAAAGAATTAAATTTGGCTAAGATTTCCTAAGAGAAGTTTCGGCTTTCTCTATAAAGTGTTTTCTTAAAACTTTTGTGTTCATTTTGAGTTTGAGTATTTGTGCTCAATGGTCAATATTCAATACAGGGTATAATATACACCCTGTGTTATGTAACAACTGAATAAAGGCATTTATTTGTGTTATTTGATGAATCGTGGTACTTCTTTTTTAAGATATTCTTGTAGGTTGATTTATAATAGTTTGTAAGTTGGAAGATTTATGTAAATTTTTGAATAGTTTCTCTTCATTTTATTTTTAACAAAGAGTTTATATTGAAATCACCGCATAATATAATTTTATAGTTTCTGCATCTTTTAAGTTGGACCAGAACAATTTCAAGATTTTTTAAGAAAACATTTGTTTCTTGCGGGGGGGTGGTATGTACTCTTTGTTTCGGTAAATCTATAATAGATATTTCAAAGTCTTTACCTTTTAAGAGAGAGAAGTAATCTGTGATTGATTCATAATTAATATTATTTTTAACAAATATGCACGTACCACAAAAAAAGCATGATGTGATTTGCCAATTTCCCTACATGAGCCACTAGCCAGGGTGAAACCTGCAATGTGTGTGCTATCTAGTTGTTGTTGTGTTAACCAATGTTCACTAAAGCATAATATTGTCAAGTGTTGTAGGTTTTGTTCAAGTAATATTTCTTAGTCTGTGAGCTTGTTATGTCCTTCATCACGAGCTCGGCATAACCCCCATTACCATTAACATTAAACAATCCACCCTTCAATTTTAGTACAAAATTCCTTCAATCCCACAAGCCCTCCATTACCAATTAGGGAAACAAATACCAAGCAGAGCACGCATCCCCAGGAAACTACCTGGACAATTCTTTGACCCACCCTAAACCCCTCGCAGACAACTCCTCGAAATATTTCTAAAATAATAATGGCTTCAAAATGTAGCTCAACTCAGTAATTCTTAATCAAATGTATTCAAACCCGTTGTGAAAGAGACTGTACACCTGACAGCATACAAATGGATAAAAAAGAGATGGTGGACATTTAGAATGATTTCATTGTCATAATCTATTGTTGAACTCAACAAATTTTTCCTCTCAGAAAATCCTTCAATGAAGCCATACAACAATAGGGGGCCTTTCAGGCCCCTTTTATTGGAAAGTAGAACTACCTCCAGAAAAGCTAAATTTCTAAAACCCTATTTGTTTGTTTACTCTCCTTGTGGTACTAGTAACAAAACTTACAGTTTTAAGATGTCAATAAATATTATTAGCAACAACCAAAACACAGGAAAATTGGAGTGATGAAAGAAGTCAGGGGACCCCAAGGCCCCTTAAGTTCATAGATGGATTAAACATTCAACAAATTTGTGTGTCAAAAATGTAGGTTTTACACTGAAAATTACTGAATACTACTGAATACCTTAAAGGTGAGTACAAAAGAATTGGTACCAATGACCTTTTAATTTAAAATTTAATTTTTTTCTCTAATTAATACTTTTGAATATGTGTTACAATAAAAGATGTAACCCTTGATATCTCTTAAGAAAAGGGATTATTTTGTTATTTCTCATGAATATTGCTCATTATCAACTTCTCAAGGTGTTCTTTATTGTCAGGCACATAACTCAACATTAAAAACAATAATATACAATATTTATTCATCATTTCTCTATATACACAAGAAATTAACAAAAACATTCTCTTTTCAATTTTTTAAATGGAATATTTTATCAACATGGGATGAAGTTTCAAGCAACTATTGATAAGCAATTCTTCTTGGAAAATTTGAGTCATACATCCATGCAAACTATGCTTACCAAATGGTGTCAGTATTTTTTTTTTTAGGAATAAAAGCATAGTTGTCGAAGATAAAAACAGCTCAAGTTGTAGGTAAAGTGTTATAACATACATGTCATATTCACTTAACAAACACAAGAAAACAAATGACACACAGAATAATACTGCATGGACACTTTAATTCAAAATAACATTAAAATATCATATTTAGTTAGACTGCATTACTGTGTAGAATTGCAAATTAAAACTTCCAGTTTGTTACAAAACATTAAGTAACAAAAGAATTGAAAGTAATTGTTGACACCATAGGTATCTTTTAGACATATACCAGCTGAATTCAAATATTCAACAATCCATGCCAAGAAACAATAGCATGGAAATTTTTTTGCCGCAAGATTTGGCTACTAGTGAATTTACATCTTGTAATATCATTTTGGTAGGTAATGTACTGTTATACATATCAGTACTTGAAATGTGCACCAAATTCTTTTGCCAAATGTCTCTATAGAACATGTAAGAAGAAAGTTATTCACATGTCAGTTCCACTGTGTGGAATTTGTCTGCCTACCATGAGATTGAAATGTGTGAAGCAACAATCAGCCAACTAGCCTAGAGCTTAGCATTGAAAAGTGAGGTCTGTGAGAGCACCAACATGCTGATGTGATAATAGAGAGTTGGAGGTGAATGTGTTCCAGTTTGCATTACATGAAGGCAAAAGCAATAGTCACTTGTCTTTTATTCTGGATTCAATGTTCAATACTGAAATCAGTTTTCTTCCATACAAACAGTTCACATAATATTCGTGGTGAGAAGTAAGAATTTGGAAAAATGTGTGCCTTAATGGGGATGAAATATGAAGTTAACTATTTACAGAATGCGAACTATATTAACCTACCATACAAATACCTGAAATATCTTGATAAGATCTTGATCCTAACACCTGTGTAAAGCAGAATTTTTCATTTCAGTTTTAACTAAGTAAGCTGCCTAGAAAACTGGAAAGAATATTTATTCCCATTTCTACTACAGATGTGATAATTTTAAATTCCTGACAGCAGAATCTGAGCAAGAAAAACCTAGCATTCTGACCTTTTGCTTTAGCTCTTTAATGCCCATAACATAAAAGCACCACACTTTCCTGACAATCAAAAGCAAAGAGTGCACATAACATCCAAAGAATTAATTTTCTATTTGACATCAGTGACACACACATTCAGGTGTATAAAATGAATATGAACATGAAATATAAACAATGCTTGTTAAACACCTACCACAAAAAATAACACTGACCAACTAAGATTAGAACACTGTACTTCACATAGATATTTTGTAACTCATCCTTTTGCACTGTCACCAATACAAAATTTCCAAAGTGATAATAGTAACAAGACCATACAAATGTTTGTCCTGAGTTAGGACAAAAGGCAATAGTACAGCTATATGTTAAACATACATATGTACATGTTTACAAAACACAGAAATATGTACATACATATATACATAAAATATGTATAACTTAAGTATAAATCTTCCAAAGTAATTTGTGTACACCTATTGATGAAACTATGTACTAAATTATACATTTGTTTATTAACATTCCTTCTCACTCAGCACATCAAGTAACTTGACACAGCCAATTATTAGGCACTGCACTACATCAAATGCTGCTGAGCAGAAAATAAAATGAAATTAAAATGAAACAATGTAGAACAAATCACGTAATAACAGAACACTTGCTTCTTTGCACATGTGATAACTTCAAAACAAAAACCCAATCACCATGTCCCTTTCATAGACTCAAAATGGCAGATTAAAAATTTTCTTATTGATGGTTTTATACTTTCTAAACTATCACATGTTTAGAAAAATACACACCGAATACAAATTAAAAATTCAAAGTACTTAAACAATATTTACAGTGAAATCTAACATAACACAATGAAACTTCTCAGCAACAAAAACATTGCCCTTTTCATGCACACTTCCTAATAAAATTCAAAATTAATAATTAAAATGTAAACAAAATAACAAATGATTGCATGAGACTGAAGAAATTCTACAAATTATATACCAAAGAACTTTTTACATTCCTCAACTAAGCAACTAATGAATCACAAAAGTTAGATGAAGATGATTCATTTTCAGTTAATAAATAATTATAAGTAGCTACGTCAATTTTATTTCAATAACCTAATGGAAGTAAATAATGTATTTATTATCAGGGCTTGATTGCCGATGGAACAGCATTCTGGCACCTCAGAAATAATTATTAAATTATAATATAAATATTAGACTATTTCTGTTGAAGTAATCATTAATTTATGGTGTGTTCCGGAACCTAAAATTTTATAAATCAAGCACTGGGCATAACTTAATAGACTCAGATAAACTAAAACATCACAGCAGAATCACTGGCAAAAAACAAGTTAAAGAAAACAGTAATGTCTACTGAATCTATGAATGCACTCAAGAAAAGCCTCAAATTACAAAATTGTGAACAAAGTCATGCCAGAAAAAACAATTACATCAGTAGAGATGGTTCAACTAGCGATTATGCTTAATATTTTAATTGATTATTCTCTAATGAAAAAATTGTTTTGACTGTTTTTAATAGTTTCCACACATTTCAAATTAATCTCTCCCCCTCATAATCCACAGACATGTTTTAATCTCACACATTTCCAATTGTTTTGAAGTAAACAAATAAATATACAATGACTTCAATTAACCAAAGAAATAATCTTCTAATGCCAACAGCACACTAACCTGTGTATGCCAGTCATGTCAAATTGCAGAAACAAAACATTTCGTATAATTTGGCTCAACAATTATAAAAAATTTTTTAGTAACTGTTTGAAATTACTTTTACTTTTTTAAATACGCCCTTTTAACTGTACTTCCATATTTGTTCTGGATTGTTGTAGAGCTCTTGAAGTAGATAACATTTTATGGTACAACAAATTTTTGTTATTTTTTCCCAGTGGAAACATGCTATAACTGCAGCTTTTATTCTCTTCCTTTTAACAAATCAATATTTCAATCAGTTCTTTCACCAACTCATTATTAACTATCTTTCTTCTTGGAGCAGTTATTAAAACACAATTTTTGCACAGAAAGCTAATTTCATATTTAAAACTAATTTACCAAAAGTATTTTTAAGCACCTTTTATCCATATCCCTTTTCCATTTCACCACAAATTTTAGATAGGGGAGACCAGGGCTGGTTGGTACTCAGGGTTCCTACATATCTTCCACAAGCTCAAGCTTTGTGTCACATGTCCTACAAGATCTAATGAACAGAAGCCTCATTATGATCAGTGCAGCAGTGGCAGAACCGTGATCTCAAATATGTTTTAGAGCTTGAAGAGCAATGTTTATGTAGTTTATTGATTTTATTTTCTTGTACACACTAAAACATCGAAAAATAATTTATTTTGACATTGATTTATTCCCTCCACAAACTCACGGAAGTAGTGTGACAACCTATCCCACGTTAATGCCAACCTATCTCAGCCAATTAACCCTACAAGTGGGGTTGTAAAAATAAATCGTTCACTAATAAAAAATTTAAAAAACCGTAAGGTAGCCCAATGAATGTACTTTCTATTGATATTCAAACTTGTCAAAACTAAACTGGAGTTGCAATAAAAAATATTAAAAACTACCAAGTGGTGCTCACCAGACTTTCTTCTCTAAATGAAATAAAACTTGATAAAACAATCATTCAAACTATACACTTCATGAAACAATTTTGTATTAGAAGAGTCAATAAGCATAATCTGAAGTCATACAAAATGTATGCATTTAATTTCAGCACACCAAAAGTTCTCCTAAACATTAACATTTCAATAAATTAATATGATTTTTATTAATATATTTTAGATACTAGCATGAAATTGTCCACCAATGTTCTAAAGAAAGCTCATCTTGGAGGCATTAGCACCATTTTTTACTACAGTACACATTTTTTGGATGTTGTATATCATGTTTATGTATTTTCTTAAAATGCAGCAGAAAATCTGTATTGAACAAACACAAACAAATATAAAGTTGCTTATGTGCCCTGCATTTAACATTACACAAAAATTTTGCAACATTATTTCACTTCTCAAATAGTAAATTTTTGTTTTACGAGCAATGGTAAATCGGTGTGATTACATTTTTACTGAATTAAACACATTATTCATATGGTACAAATGTAACATGCAAACACGTAATTCCATAAAAACACTGTACTCTTCAACATTTGGGCACAGCCTTGGCTCTGTTTGCAAACATCTATACAAAATAAGAAGCAAACAGTCCTTTGCAAATAATACAGTATTTACATGACCATGAACAAGACAAACATTTACTGCAAATATTCTGTGTTGATAAATATAGCATCAATAGTCAGCAGCAGCACTGCAGTGTCCTACTAGCCTTGGAAAATAAAGCATCACATCTCTTGAAAGCGGTTACGATACCACAAACTAGCACTAAAGACACACATAGATAATAATTTGGTGTACTCTGCTGCAAAATTTCAAATTAGGAGGTATGCACACATTCTAATGTTAAACATCAATATTGTATGAATCAACAATTCAGTGCGAGGACATACACTACAAAACTGAAACAAGACATGTCTAAACATTCTTAACTCTTCTACAACATGGAACTACCACACATAACCATTTAATTATTAATTTATTTTGAAAAAACAAATTTTGTGGCAAATATTAACATGATTTCTTTGGTTGATTATTCTTTGCATATGCAAGAAAAGGAAGACTATTGAAGAAATTTTTAATATCTCTTCTGAAATTGTCATAAAAATGTTTACACGCATGACAAAAAGTGCCCAGGGTGGATATGACATATTGACTACCAAGTGAAATTCATCACTTCACATTTCTCTTCTTTGCATAAAACATTCAGAATTGGATATAAATAAAAGTTCCTAATAATTTTAATAGGCACAACCAGTTAACAACAATAATTATAAATTACATGAAATTCAAATTAGCCCTTTAGATAAATTGTAGGCAAATTTTAAACAAGATTATAAACTTTATCATAAAAAGTACTATATACGGACTGTGAGAAGTATAATTTATTGAAGATAACAATTTATCGTTTCTAATTATTGCAATTATAAGAATTAGTTTTAACTCCATAAAAAGATATGGAAAATGTAACTAAGTACAAAAACATGCGATTTACTGGAGAATGAATTTACAAGTTCATTCTCTAAATTCAACATGATTTCTAGCCTCACTCACTTAAACAAAACCAAAATATGATAAAAAATTAATAAACTGACAAAACCATGAAAAAATTTAAAAATTGACAAAAATTCAATAAATCTTGGCCAAAAAAACAAGTGGCATAAATAAATGGAACCATTCAAAACCTTTCTCTTAAATTCATTTTGCTCAAATAACTAAGCACAAAGTACAAACCTCTAATATGGTATGTGGATTGGAAGGTGGAAAAAAGTAGTAGAACAGAAAATATTTTCATAAACTATTAAGAACATTAAGAAAGTAGTAATAAAGAAAAGGGAAGTGATTATATCCATAAGTAAGAATAACATACATTAAATTTCTGGGATTGCTAATTTACTGCCTTCAATCACCTCTGACACATATTTGTCTATTATTTACATACACAATAATTATGTGTGCTACACCATCTCTGAAGTAAATGAAAATAAAATGTTACATTGAAAAAATAATTAATCATAAATTAACTGATAAAGCATGTTCTTTCACAATTAAAAATTATAAATACCAATTTGGGTGTACCTACAATAAAGGAAATCAAGACACACAAGGAAAAAGATAACACAAAAGATACATAAACCAAAAAAGAATTCAAAAATAAAACATGTAAGAATCTTTGTTACAGAAAATAAAGAGTATAATGTTACATAACCAAGCGTTATAAATTAAATGCCAGTTCTTATTTTGAAACAAAACAAATAATTTAACCTTATTATTACCAGAAGATTAACAACCCCTCCTTTGAAGGAATGACTTTTCTACAAAAATATGTAAATACGAAAATACATAGCACAAGATGCCTAGAAGGAAAGTGACTTACGTTATTATCTTGAACCTACGCAATGAATATAAATCCTGAAACTGCTTCATTTTTTTTTTGATCTTACAGTTCCTATAATTATTTTTTTGAAAATTTTTTAACACAACCCTGTATTTTCCTCTTAATAATATACTGTATTTGCACAAAATTCTGAGGCTAACTCAATTAATGGAATGGGCACTTTCAAACAAAGATCTTTTTCACACTGAAAAATTCTCCAGCAATGAGTAAAATTAAATTAGGAAATACCACATTATTTAGTAGGAAAATTACAAACAAACACAAGAAATTTATAATACAGAATAATATGAAATCAAGTAAAAAATAAAGTATACACTGTCCCTGTAGTGTTCATTTTTAATTCTTCAGTGTTAAAGCACCAACAAAAATTAATGGAAAGCAATACTACAGTGTAGTTGTTTGTTTGTTTTTTAATTGCTATCACAGACTATATACAATTTCTATATTGCTTTTCATCAACTCCCTAATGGACAAAATTTTCAAATAAAAAGTACAAAGTATATATCTCAAGTTCTAGTATGTCAGACTTCATAATAAGAAAAAACTTAAAAAAATCATTATGCCCCTTGGAATATGGGTCCCAACTAGTAAATAATAAGTAAAATTATTTCATATATCACATGATTATCAAATAGTTTTACAATAATTATATATGCCTTCATTTTCTTTTTAAATAACAACATTCTTGTACTTTGTCAAAGGGATTAAGTAGTTAATACATAATAAATTAAAAGGTGTACCATAACAATTAAAAATATACCATAGAGACCAACATACAATTTCAATGCCAACAGGAACCTCACACTAATGATTTCAGGAGAATGGACGCAATAAAAATTGGTAAGAGCATGGAGCAGAGCCCATTTTTAAGCTGGCTTGTCTTTGCTCTATTATAGTTTAAAATATTCACTTTATATAACATCTAACATAAGTTTACCTCCATGTTAACAAAATTACTTTGTTGTATTCTTACAGCACAACTTATGCATCAAATAAACATAAATAATTATTAGCTATAAAATGTAACAAGTATAGCTATAAAAAAAAGGACAGGCAACTTATCATTGTATTCTGAACTCACTTACTATAATGTAAACTCAAATCTGTTCACAAATCGGTGTAAAACGTTAACAAGACATGCTACAGAGTTCATAAGAAATGTTACCCTCTGATAAATGTGCCATGAACCTAGTTTTAAATTATTAAATAAAATATTTTCTTACTAAAAGCTGTCACTAAACTTCAGGAAGCAAATACCACTAGACATGTATGCACAGAATATTACATGCACTTAGAATAGGAGACAATGATTCTAGAGCACAAAGCACAGAGCCAGTCATGAAAATGTTACTTGCTCCATGCTGCAGCATGTGAGCAACAGTGATCTGTCCTTGACAAGATCATTTAAGTTCTGACGTTACTAACATGGGTCAACAGCAAATATAAGCAATATCAAACAGAAAACAGTCACCATAATGCTTCAAAGCTCATGTTGACAAAACCAGGTGACTTCCGACACTCCCAGTATTCATGTGAATATTCCCAAGTGTCCTCTCCAGAAGGCAGTGCCATTTTGCTGTACGGAAAAATTAAAAAATAAGTACAATATATAATATTAGTAAAGTACTGACTCAATTTATCAAGTTACCAAAATGTACAACACCAACTCCAACATACACAAAATGAGAATTAACCAACTTTTCTGCCTTTCATGCAATTGTAAAATGTACCTACATGTTTTATTTCCTTTATGTCATCAATTTCTTTTGTTTTATATGTTATATCATTCTAAATTCTCCATTCATTCCACATCCACCAATTTTAAAGAGCAAAGTTTCAGATGTTTTAGTGTATGGAAGTTGAAGGTCTGAGATTTCTAGTAGGAGGGTAATAAATTTGGTTCCATTCTCTGTTATAATATACAATGTGTGTCTCCAAAACACATCCATGTGCCAATGTGTCTTACTGAGTAGCTCGGGAAGGACTTATCTGGGCAGAGCAGGGAGTGTGGGATCTTAGTTACACAGCCCAATGTCAGTGATCATACTATGACCGGGAGAGACGGTTCAGTACATCAAGTGATGGCACTGCAGTGCCTCTGACCTTGGTTCGAGACCCGACTGTGGCAGGATTTTCGACACTAACTTATCAGCTAGGAGGAATTCAGTCACTGTATGGAGGAGAATTCTGGCGGCCGGCAGCTCCCATAGGTAGTTTTCCATGGTTTCTCCGATCAACATCAGGAGAATGCCGGAGCAGTACTCTAACATACGGGGCACGGACCATGCACGATCTTTCCTTCCTCTTCCTTCTATATTCACCCCCTATTTACACACACACACACCATGCACTATACTACCGCACATGTCAACAGACCAGTCGGGTTCTTAGAGCTTGTCCCAGCTGGGGCGCACAGTGTGAAATTTCAGGCATCTAGGTCATTTAAAAAATCATTTTTCGACCAAGTTCCTATACATTTTTGGAGTTGCTCACACTATTCTCCAATGCCCAAAGCATCTTGCAACATATTGTTTAATGTTTGGGATCGCATTAGCGCCGCTGAAACCCTTCGGTTGGTGGGGTTCGGAGAAGGTCACTGCGCGCCCTCACAAAGAGTTTCAGAGTGCGCCTTTTCAATACGTGTTCTTAGAGGGATCCGCTGCAAGAGAATTCATGACTTTGCTTAACATCGTAGTGTTAAGTACGTACTTCACTATGAAACTTTCATATTTCTTGTTATGATTGCAGAACACATCATTAAACGCTTTTAAATATAAGATAGTATCATTTCCAAGAAATTATCTGACTTTGTTTTAGTCGAGATACATAAAAAAAAGTTACACGAGTTAGTTTTCTAACTGCCCGCAATTGCCCCAATCCCAGAAAATAATATTTTTCAGAAGCGATGCAGGCCACCCGAAGACGCGATTTGTTGGCGTTGTTGTCTGGCGAGGTTCTGCTAGTACATCGCGAAATGAGGAAGTATATCGATTCTTTGCACAAAAAAACAAACAACTTTGTTTACAAGACTGCTCAGATATATCTAAGTTGGTTAAGACCACTATTTAAATATTTTGTGCTCAAATAAGCTCTCGATGGACGAAGAGCAAAAGAACACTGGAACGTTTCCTGTACTCATCCTGGCCTAATGAAAACGTTAATTTTGATAGTCGTGTTATTTGTGTCATGCCTTCAAGTAGTACCGCACCCACACCAAAGAGGACAACCTTGTAAGTTTTTTGACAGCAGCGATTCTGGACAGTGGAAGAAAGCAAAAAACAGATTTGAAAAAATCTTCGGTGCATGGTGATGCCATAATTCAGTCACGTGTGCTACCAATCGGACAACTTTCTGAAGAAGCGCAAGAGACTAGAAATAAAGACAATAGACGTTACAGGGAAAATTTCACCAGAAAGTCATCAAGAATAAATTCAAATCTCGATCTGCTTCACAGACTGCTGATATCATCTGATCCATACATTACCAGCTTAGGAAAATCCCAAATACCGAAAACGCATGATTTGCCACGCGAAGTCATAAAATTATTTTTTGATGTAAGTTCTCTGGAATAAAAATGAAAAATCTAACCTAACGAGGTGAGTTAACATTTTTAATTTACATACTTAACGTCAAAAACTGTTGAAACAGCATGCGACATTCTGAGGGGCAAAAGCTGTAATTACATTAAAATATTACATTACATTACTATAAAACATTGTGAATGCTCACCATTTACTTAAAAAGCCAATTAAAATCGAGGAGTTAGTAGTTTCACAATTTAAAAAAGATAATACATTAAAATTAAAATGTTTAAAATAAACATTCTCTCTGATATAAGAATAAATATTTTAAGCTTGAAAAATATATTTAAAAAATTAGAAATTGATAAGGAGTTGAAAATCGTGGACAAAGAAAGTTTATTCTTCATAAAACTTGTATACAATTCGGAATATTAATTAAATATTGTTGAAATAATAAAGTATCTTATTGAAACTTCATGTATACTTATAGAATACGTTATAAGAGATACGCACACAAAATTTCATTGAGATATGTGAAATAGTTTCTAAGGTATTAATTTTTACGAGCTAGTTGTTCGACAGTAACACATCGTGCGGCGATGACTCGCTGGTGGCAGATACCTGGTTGGGAAAAACCTCGCTAGTCGACGGTAGATCGGTGCCAGATCTCGACCTCCAGCAGGAGAAGACCACTGCTATCTCCCGATGAAAAAACACGCACTACACTTATGGGACTAATGGCCTCAGAAGTTGATGCGCCCGGAATCACTAACAATCAATCAATGATCACAGTGGCGGCTCGTGCTTAGGTTGCACAACCCCCAGATAATCGAAAAAGATCTTATAACTTACGACACGCAACTAATGCTGGAAATCCTTCAGGAGCGTGATGCCTGATTCTAGTGAGTAGACAAACCTGGAGCGTATTCCAATCTGTAATTTGTATGTGTTGCACACGGGGTTGAAATGTTCTGGATATTATTTCAATTAATTTTGATTTTTAAAAGAAACACAATGGAAAAGTATTGTGTTGCTTACGGTCGCAAAGAACATGCGATAGGAAGCGGGATTCAGTTTTACATGTAAGAGAGTTCCCTTTTCAAATGCAGTTGAAGTTACAATTTGGTGCGAGACTGTATCACACTTTAACTAGTATAAATACTTTATAAATGTGTGCTTCATTGCTGATTTATGCAGATTCCCCTTTTCTCAACCAGAAATTTTGAAGAAATGAATGCATGCTGTCCAAAGAGAGAAATGGAAACCATACCTAAGTAATAAAAAAACAAGCTGCAGCCGAGCTAATAATTAGGGCCCGGATGTTTTTATCTAAAAATGTTAGAAACACGTATGCAAGCATTTATGGCCTAAAAAATATGTTGGTTGTTTTTTCGAAACCTTTAACATTTTTCCGCTGTTTAAATAACCATTATATTGAAAATATTATTTTAAAAATTATCACGTTCGCAATTTACCCTTTCTTCTTTGACACCCAGTGAAGACAATTCTACTTGGTAAAGTTATTAAATAAATTTTATAGAAGCGGTTGACCTTGGCCGAAAACCTAACGAAACTAAACACTTCCTCAGATGCTTTCTTTTTCTCCTTCTGTATAGCTTACTCTCCTAACTCACATACATTCATACTATTTATAGAAAAGACAGACAACAAGTATATACAACAAAAAACTGTAAAAAAGTACATAACAAGTAGGAGGTATAGACAATATCTTTGAGACGACTGCAAGCAAGTGTGTGAAAATGAAATCAAAGAGATAAATATATGGCAAAAATATGAAAATGCATGGAAAAATAAGACCATAATGTGAAAAATTAACGGAAAATGACCAATGATACATGAAAATTGCATAATTTTAGTAACTGTAGATAAAAACAGCTTACATTTCGATGGCAATTACACAAAAAATATGTCGTGTCATAAACATCCGGGTCCTACCAAAGATATTAGCACAAAATGCAGCAATTATTTTCTTTAGGATTGCTATCTAGTTAATAATAAATATTAATAATAATTACAACATATGTGGAATGAGCGATTTCAAAATTTGCACGGCAGAGTAAGGATTTGGTTTTCGATTTCAGTGACGTACACGTCGTGAAATTACTATTTTTAGCGGTAATCCGTGTTTTCATGTACGATAGCAAACCGTATAATAAATCGATTACGTCGAAAACGATATGTTTTTTCTAAAGAAAGGCACTGACCGCTCAAGGCAGGCGCTCAGGCACTGAACCGCTCAGCCATTCAATCGCTATCCATGAAGGTTCAGCCGGGATCGTGCGAGTAAAATGAGATGTCACGCTCCGAACTTGAGGTTGGAAGTTGTGGGCAGTTTTCAATTGAAAGTAACTAGGTGAATTGTCAAGTCGGGCAGTTCGTAAAATTGAACATTGAAATTGGTAAGTTGAAACAGATTCCACCGAAGATGACCAGCGAAGAGAAGAAGACAGCAGATGCCTCAATGGAGGCACACCCATGTCGACTAAAGAAGAAAAAAAGTCACTAAGTGAACGATGAAGAAGTTTAAGGCCATAGAAGCACTGGACTGTCGACTACGGGGAACAAAAGGACGCTGATAAAACGCTAAAAGACAGCACTAATAATATTTGTTGACATCAAAGAAGATGAAAAGAAGAACAACTTGAAGAAACAAAACTTGGAAAAGGACAGAAGATAGTTGATAGTTGACAGTTGATAGACGAGCAAGAGTGGGGCTGTTACCTTCTATTCGGTAAGCTCGCGCTGAAAAAAATTGATTTGTCCGAAAGTGAAAAATATTTGGTACGTCGCGAATTCATAAAAAGGGCAACCAAAGCTGGTGAAGCTTACCGGTCAATGGGGTCACCGAGTTCGTCGAGCGCGTTTGCCATGTGAATACCAGAATATCCTACAGATGTCGCGGATACACACTTAACATACGCCACAGAAAAAAGGTGGCGCAAATTGAAATTGAGAATGACGAAAACACTGAAGTGGTCGGCTGAAGATGATAATATTAACGACAGTATTAATTCCTTTGTATAAATGTTATTTT